GGATTTTTGCTAGGGAGGTAGTAGCGGAGCCTTTAGGAGGGAGGCGCCGCCAGGCTTTAAGGGCTGCGTTTTGGATTTGAGCTAAAAGGCCTGGGGGGAAGGCTGCTTGGGCTTCATTTGTTTCATAGGGGCTTCGCCCAAGCAGTTTATCTCTTGTCCATGCGCGTGAAGTTTTACTTTCACTATTGCGCTGCGCAATCTCACGGCAATTTTCTACAAAGTCAGTGCGCCATAAAACATACTCTCCTCCTGACAAGGCGGCTCGAGCTAGGGAAAGCCAGTCATTAGGAGTCAACCACCGGTCACTCAGGCTTTCAATTAAGGCTAATGTAAAAGGAGCTGTGGGGCCATAATTGGTAACAGCTGTTTTTAAGTCTTTTAAGTGTTTAAGGTTAAGGCGGCGGTATTTCTGGGCTTTAGCTGGTTTTTCTATACGATCACCAGACTCTTCATTGTCTGAGGGCTCTCCCTCAGAACTCTGCTCTTGGTTTGGAATATCTGGGTCTTGGGAGTCTGGGGCGTTCTCGTCCTCGCTCTCCTCTCTGACTTCGGCGGGGATTTCTGGGCGGCGACCGCGGGTGAGCGGGCGACCACGAGATTGGGAAGGCTAGGATTGGGCTTTTAGGTTTCACTTTCTTTATGAGTTTTTTGGGGAGTGAGGGAGTCGGATGGGGTCAATTGAAAGGGGGAATTTGTGAGATAACTCTAGATCAGGGATTTGAAATATAGGGGCACATTGAGGGGAAATAGGTTTATATGGAGGGGGTCTGAAGCTTTTATTAGAGGCACTATAAAGGGCTGGCGCCAGTAAAGCGCCAGTGGGTCTTCATTTGCATGATAATGGACGGCTTGTTCTTCTAAGGACTCTTCATTGTTTAGGCTTAAATGATTTGTTTGGTGTTTTAAAGACGTGAGTGAAGGATAGATATTTGGGATTTTAGGAGGATCAGGTTTATCGTGAGTGTCTGGAAATTTTATATTAGGTTGAGGTTTAGGAGATTCTTTAACAGGAGCGGTGGGGTCTTCAGGGATATCTACGGATACTGAAGGACAGGCAGAGGGTGGTCGGGAGTTTTCTTTAAGGGCTATTTCTCCTGTTTTAATTATATCTTTAATGTCAGGATCTTGAGAATGAACCTCAAGCATGTCATGAATAAGGTTCCAGTAAGAAAATGCTGAAACAGGGACTTTTTCAGGGCCAAAGGCCTGATAAAAATCTTGGAGGGCATCACCAACTCTTTTCCAACATTTATGATTGATAGTGCCTTCGAGGGGAAACCAGGGGCAAGTCTCATGAATAAAGGAAAAAAATTGTCTAAGATCTTTTCTTTTAACCCTTACTCCTCGTGTCCTGAGGGACTCCTTGAGTCCGCTAAGAAATACCTCGTGGGAGTTCAGTGAGTTGCCCATTAGGACGGCTGGGATTTCAACTCTATGTAACTTGGAATTATACTAATGCAGCCGCAACCACGCCAATGTTCTGAACTACTGGAGGCACTCTCATCAGCTCAGGTGAGCCCTTGCTTACATAGGATGGTTGGCAAGTATAATCCGCTTGCTCGGACCCTCTAGGGCAAGGACTCTGTAGTCAGAGTCCCTTGTGCAGGCCCTAGAGGTGAATGACTATTAGCCCAAAGTAAGCACAAGGTTTTCAGAGAGGAACAACCAGAGGACAAAACAAGGAATAAATCACAGCAGCAAACTAGAGGGAGGGGATCAGTGAGAACTCACAAGAGGTATTTAAGATGCTTGCTTGGGTGATGCGTCTACTCACCTCTCCAGGATCTGTATTACAGACGGGTGATTCACAGTGATCCTCAATGCAGAGTCAACATCAGGTGAATACCCGTGTGATGACTCAGAAGAATGCCTGGCCAGGGCTTCCGAGCAGACATTTCAGCAGGAGTCCCAGGGCCCCACATTGGGCGCCAGTTGTCCCGGCCTGCGGGACGAACGTGGAGTGTGCCGGAGACGCCTGCAGAAATGAAACAAGCAAGGGACACAAAGAACGACCAGCAAGACAGGATGTCTGATCAAGCTGGCCAAGTTTATTGTTTGTAGGCTTAATTTATACAGGTCAGCAAGGAAGGGGTGGGTCAAAAGGCAATTGGACCTTAGGTGACGCTGGCGGGAAGGTGTAAAGGGGTGATTGGGCTTTGGTTGGCACCGGCGGAAGCAGAGAACCCGGAATAGAAGCAGGGACTTCGCCATTTTGTGGGTGGAGGCTCTTTGGTCTCCGGCAGATGGAAACAGATATTTCATGCAAACAATAGCGAGAAAAAAGCAGGTGTTGCAATACTAGTATCAGACAAAATGGACCTCAAAACAAAGAAAATAACAATAGATAAAGAGGGACATTACATAATGATAAAGGGCTCAGTCCAACAAGAGGATATAACCATTATAAATATATATGCACCCAATACAGGAGCACCAACATATGTGAAATAAATACTAACAGAACTAAAGGAGGAAATAGAATGCAATGCATTCATTCTAGGAGACTTCAACACACCACTTGCTCCAAAGGACAAATCCACCAGACAGAAAAAAAGTAAGGACACAGAGGCACTGAACAACACACTAGAACAGATGGACCTAATAGGCACCTACAGAATTCTACAACCAAAAGCAACAGGAAACACATTCTTCTCAAGTGCACATGGAACAATCTCCACAATAGACCACTTGAAATTCTACCAACCAGCTTCTTGGACACAAAGGTATAAAACTAGAAATAAATTGCACAAAGAAAGCAAAAAGGCTCACAAACACATGGAGGCTTAACAACATGCTCTTAAATAATCAATGGATAAACAACCAAATTAAAATAGAGATCAAGGAATATATGGAAACAAATAACAACACAAAGCCCCAACTTCTGTGGGACACAGAGAAAGCAGTTCTAAGAGGAAAGTATGCAGCAATCCAGGCAAATTTAAAGAAGCAGAGCAATCCCAAATGAATAGTCTGAAGTCACAATTATCGAAATTGGAAAAAGAAGAACAAATGAGGCCTAAAGTCAGCAGAAGGAGGGACATAATAAAGTTCAGAGAAGAAATAAATAACATTGAGAAGAATAAAACAATAGAAAAAATCAATGAAACTAACACCTGGTTCCTTGAGAAAATAAACCAAATAGATAAGCTTCTAGCCAGACTTATTAAGAGGAAAAAAGAATCAACACACATCAACAAGATCAGAGCTTACACACCTCAACAAACAAAAAGCAAATAATCCAATTGAAAAATGGGCAGAGGAGCTGAGCAGACAGTTCTCCAAAGAAGAAATTCAGATGGCCAACAGACACATGAAAAGATGCTCCACATCGCTCGTCATCAGAGAAATGCAAATTAAAACCACAATGAGATATCACCTCACACCAGTAAGGATGGCCACCATCCAAAAGACAAACAACAACAAATGTTGGAGAGGTTGTGGAGAAAGGGGAACCCTCCTACACTGCTGGTGGAAATGTAAATTAGTTCAGCCATTGTGGAAAGCAGTATGGAGTTTCCTCAAAAAACTCTAAATAGCAATCCATTTGACCCAGGCATACTACTTGTGGGAATTTACCTTAAGAATGCAGCAGCCCAGTTTGAAAAAGACAGATGCACCCCTATGTTTATCTCAGCACTATTTACAATAGCCAAGAAATGGAAGCAACCTAAGTGTCCATCAGTAGATCAATGGATAAAGGAGAATTATCTCTTCTCCCAGCTTTTAGTATTTATAGCAGCAACAAAAGAAAAACCTAACATACAAGGAATGGAAGAGGTACGTATGCACAATAGAATATTATTCAGCCATAAGAAGAAAACAAATCCTAGCATTTGCAACCACATGGATGGAGCTAGAGGGTGTTATGCTCAGTGAAATAACCAGGTGGAGAAAGACAAGTACCAAATAATTTCATTCATATGTGGAGTATAAGAACAAAGAAAAAACCTAAGGCACAGAACAGCAGGAGAATCACAGAACCCAAGAATGGACTAACAGTTATCAAAGGGAAAGGGACTGGGGAGGATGGGTGGGAAGGGAGGCATAAGGGAGGGGGGAGAGAAAGGGTGCATTATGATTAGCATGTATAATGTGGGGGGAGGCACGGGGAGGGCTGTGCAACACAGAGAAGACAAGTAGTGACTCTATAGCATCTTACTACGCTGATGGACAGTTTCTAATGGGGTATGTGGAAGGGACTTGGTGAAGGGAGGAGCCTAGTAAACATAATGTTCCTCATGAAATTGTAGATTAGTGGCACCAAAATTTTAATATATAAATATATATATATACATATATATATGTGTGTATATATATATATAAGCTGTTTGTATGACATAGTCATGAATGTTATTTAACAAGACATGGACTCAGACCTATGTTAAAATGAAAATGTAGAATCATTTAAATGATGGGTAATGACAGGGGTTGGGACTCTGTTTTACCAGTAATTTCAGTAAGCTATGTCTTCTTAGTAAAAACTTTAAACTACAGCTTACATACACAGGGGTTGATTTTCATGCTGTTATTTCTCTTCTTCTAGAAGCTTTATTAACTTTAAAAGTTATACTTTCCTAAGCAGAGAAGCCAGACTGAACTTCTAGGAGGTAGGAAGTAAACCGGTGGACATTCTCAGAAGAGGCTGGAAGGATTGGTCCCACTCTGTTGGCTTCATATGCATATTTTAGTATTTATGTCTGAGTTCTTTTTCCTACTCTTCTTGTGCAATAAAGCTTTCTCTGAACTCATGAGTGTTGCTGTTTTCCACAGGGTGGAGTGTAGTGTCTCTTCTAATACCCACCTGTATTATATCTTATCTCACCATACTGTCTGGTAGAAAACTAAATCAGACATGTAGTTCAAATATAATATCTTAGGATATCGAATAGAACAGATGATGCCACTGAAACTAGGAGAGGGACAGAAAGAATTACAATCTTGGCATCTCCTTCCTGAAGGACCCATCCTAGGAAAGGAGCTTTGTTTGTTCTTTCTCACAGTCTCCTGAGTTTGTAAAGATGCCTTGCCTCCTGAAAGACATCCTCTGTGTAATCAAGACATTCCACAAGTATGCCAGGGAGTATGTTGGAGAGGCAACACTGACCTGCAGAGAGCTGAAACAGCTAATCCAGAATGAGTTTGGGGACATTCTTCAAGTGAGGTGCTCACAAAGCTGGAGAAATTCCTCTCCACTTGCCCTTTCTCCATAAACCAAACAAGGTGGACATAAATGATCTGTGCCCATTTTATACTCGGCAATATGCTCTCAGTACTCACTGGCTTTTGAAGAGTCTCAGTTGCCTACTTTGTGCAATTGCTTAGCCAAAGCTATAGAGAAAAATGAGGTTTTCTTCACTAGGACTATTGCTTCTGCAAAGTAGGCTTCTGATAGCAGTCATGAGCCAGTATGGATTTAAATGCAACTCTCAAGTGATATAAATGCTCCTTCTTAGACACAGCCTTCAGAGGAAAAATGGCTTCCAGAACCAACTTTTTCTTACTGTTTGAAGAAATTTCACCAGTTCCTGAGGAATAGGAAAAATAGGATTCTTGGGAGATATGCAGACACTCAGGGCATTTAGCCACCTACAAACAAATTGCTTTCTCACTGTGTTTTCATGTAACCACATGCCATTCATGCTGTCGAGAGACACTTGAATCTACTGGATATTGACAGTGATAACATCATCAATTTTGATGAATTTCCTCTTGCCATCTTTAACTTGTTGAATCCCTGCTATCTTGACATATACTCATTACTAAATTCAGAACCAAGAAAAGTGTTTAAACCAGAGCACAAGCCAGATGATATTGACCTTCAGGCAATCAGTGGAACTTATCCAGCAGACAGAGGAAACTCCAACTCAGGACAAAATGATGCTTCCTTCAGAAATGGCATCATCAGCTCAGTTTAGTCCTAAGGAAAGGGGAGCAGTTGGACACCATAGGGTAGACCCACAGGGAGACACCAAGGCTCACAGACTGCCAGTAGAAGCATCTGAACACAATGACCCTAAGAACCGACACCTGGAAGGAGATAAACAGAGCTAGGACATGGCCCAGTTTGTATCAGCAACAGGAGACACAGGGCCCAGCCTGAGATAAATAAGCCAATGTCAGGATCAGAATAGATCGGCAGTCCTACAAAGGGGGAGGGGCAGGACAGGAGATCCCCAGGGAGGGAGATATGCCCCCCAGGGAGCAAAGTGGCACAAAGACAAGAGAGAATTTGGAGAATAGAAAGGGAACCTGGGAACCCAAAGTTTACCAGAAGAAAAAGCACAGAGGCCGTCTGCAGATCAGGAAGTTGTGGCAGAAAAGAGTGTTAAGGAACACTCTAAAATACAACCACCACCACTGCAAGATGAGTCCAGTTCAGAGCATGCTGACCTGCCAGAACAAGGTAGTGCCTGGAAACCAGTCCAGGCACAGAAATCAACTGATCCTGAGGATGGTGGTAAAACACCTGAGACCCAGGAACCGTCAGAACAAGAAAAAGAACATGAAATGAAGGACCTACTAATCAGACGTGACAGCAGAAATGTTTCAGAAACACCCAGTGTTAGAGCTGAAAGGAAAGGGTGGAGGGGCCCTGGGACCCATGGGACAGCAGGACAGGAAGAAAGCAAGAGGAAAACCCAGTCACCAGCCCTGGGAGACCAAACACAGAGCGGGAAGTATCAGCAACTCCAGGAATCATCAAAAGAATGGGACGCCAAAGAAGGTTCCATGACACAAGAGTTAAACTCCGGAGGAGGAGAGCAGAATCATCCTGATATTGAAGGTGCAGCAACCCTGAGGGAAGAGGCGAGACACGGTGAGGAAGGCATAGCAGAAGCACTTATGGGCAGAAAGCATGCCCCTGCAGCAGAAAGGACACCAGAAGCGACAGAAGGAATAAAGGAGATGGCACCACTTGAAAACGTGTTTGGAAAAGAGTAAGAGGGTCACCAAGACTCATGACAAACCAATCAAGGAGGACAATGGTTACCAGGGGGAGGATCCTGAGCTAACAGTCACATAGAATGATGAGGGGTCTTCCAAAACCCCCAAAAGCCTGACTCTAGAGGATTGTAACAGCAGCTCAGATACAACTGACCTCCCTGTGCAAGGGAATTCCCAGAGCCAAGTAGACCCACTCAAACAGTCTGGGCAAAGAAGTCATAATAATAACCCATACATCCGGAAACAGGTAGCAGTGGGTGAGAAAAACAGAACTCAGGAGCTGGTGGGGCTGGAAGTCAGAGGAGAGGAAATGTAGCTCACTAGGAAACTGGAGTGGCCTGCCAGAGAAGAGCACAAGAGTGAGGGCTCGAGGCCAAAAGGTTTGGACCCAGCTGTGCACCTGGTGGACACTGAGAGGCACAGGAGTCAAAGACCACAGTTGCCCTGGATGCAGGCTTCACTGGTCCATTCTCAGTAAGGAAGACAGAAGAAAAGAGCTAGAGGTCCAGGGCTCAAGCACCAAAGAAAGAGAAGGTAAAGCACCAGAGAACCAGGAGGTTCTAGTGAAAAGTCTGGACAAGGGCAATTCAGCCTCTCCCAAGACACACCTTAAAACAGAGGAACCTGCAACACTGGAAGAGGATGAGAGCCACCAGGAGCTGGCAGGAGGAGGTAGTGACCAACAACTTCCAGCCAAGAGAGGACACAATGCTTCAGTTCCCCCCTCAGGCCTTGAAAAGAGGATGCAGAGGGAACAAGAACCCTGTTCTGTGGAGAGGGCTATGGTCTACTGCAGTCCACTGTTCAGGCACCACAGTAAATAGACACAACCCAAGAGGAGCATCAAATCAAGCTTAGCCAGCCACAGTATCAAACCCAGAGTTCTGCAACAAGTTAGATACATCCCTCAGCAGTGAAATCTCAGATTGTCCTGTCTTTTTCAATGACAGCCAAGAATTACAACTGTACATTTGGCAACTTCTGTCTGATGAGGATCCTGCTGATGCACAGCAAATATCAGCTCCCCAGGCCTTGGAAGATAAGCAGGGCCATCCTCAGAAGGAGGAACCACTACCACAAAGGGAGATGAGCACAACAATGCATTGAATCATTATTACTATCATTATCCAAGGAGAAACTCCAAGGAACTCTACACATCTCAACATGCCCCAACTTCTTCCTTCCCAATCACTCTCAATACTTCCATGCATGTATTCAGATGCAGATTAATAATCCTTTAAATTCCCTCCCTAAATTTCTACACAAGAAAATAATGAAACATTCAGCAGGAGGAGCTATCACCAAAGAAATGTCACACCAAACGTCCTTCCATATAACGCTACTAGCAAGTGTGCCAAAATGGTCTTTCTCATTAGACAATTTTTCAAAATATATTTGTACCTTTTATTTTAACAATTTCATCAGATGATTTCTCTAAGCAACACAAAGTATTGTTGATTGAAATGATTAAAGGATAACTTGTCTTCTGTTAAAAATACTGCATTGTTTAGGAAAAAATATTTGAGACAGCATGCCATAATATAAGTAATTATAGACTCAAAGGTGAAGCCATTCTGTCTTTTCCAAAAAATAAGTAGAAGGTAGCTCACCTTATATTCATACATACAGGTAATGTTAATTATGAATTATTGAATTATAATAATGACTAAACATTGGTTACTTCTTTTATATATTATTACTGAGAGCTTTGATTGTTAAAGGGTTAGAAAGGATGGCTAACATTTATTGAACATGTACTGTTTGTTAATGGGCTCACATGTATGATTTCCCTGAAGAATTAAAATGACATTGAGATAATAGGTTTAATTATGTCTAGCTTACAGGTGAATAAACTGGGACTCAAAAGGTTTTTAAGTAGCCTGTTTCCCATAGTCACTAAATCCTAATACTAGAATGTGTAGGATCTGAAGAATCAAAAGTTAGCATGAGCACAGCCATCTTAAAGGCTTAAACACCACCCTCTAACCTAGAAGGAGGAAAATTATTAGAACCTTGAAAAACAAGTTTGTCAGCCAGTGTTAATTGTAGTGACCTCTAGTTAGCTAACCTCAAATCAGTTAATCATACATACCAAGCTTATCTTGCTAGAACCACCCTAAACATTCTGAAAGTGATTTTATCTAACCAGACCCCAGGATGTGGCGTCAACCGAAAATGTATGCATCTATGGAAAAACACTGTATTGTGGCTGTGGAAAATGCTATAAAAACCTCTGGCTTTGTGTGTTCAGGGTCCTTGTTGAGACCCGCTGCGTCGGGCGAACTTGGACCCCAGCTAGCTGGTTCCTGAATAAATTCCTCTTGTTTGTTGCATCAAGAGACGCCTTTCGTGAGTGATTTGGGGCGGCGTCCTCCTCTGGGAGAATCCAACAAATGAGAACTAAGATTTCTCTGAATCTAAAACCCCTGCTCTTTCTATCACATCAGAAAATACAAAATATTAGAATGAGGAGCAGTATCTCAATGGTTTAGAGAGAAAAATATAAAATAAAATACTTCACATAATACTAGGAATTTGTGTTTTCATAATGCTTACAGTTTGGATAGTCTTTTGCATGTATTATCTCATTTGATATCTGTAAAAATTACATTATTTACCATAGTATGATCTAAAAATATAAAGTGATTCAAAGAAAGTTGAGCTATATTCACTAACAACAACATATCATTTATAAAACAAGTTCTTATGATTTTACAAAAATAGATATATTGTTGTATTGACACTAATAGTTCCTAACTTCCAAATTTGAGATCAAGTTGTTCTTTTGTGTCACAGACAAAACAATGGATGGATGGACTTTAGACTCATCCTATTATTTCCACTGTAAATGCTTCCAAAAGATAAGGATTTGTTCAGCATAAACACAATATTATTTTCACATGTAAAAATAGCTAACTTTACTGCCAAATGCCATCGTGTTTAAATTTCCCCAATATGTCATGAATCATTTTATCTTCTTCCAAAAATGTTGTTTCCCAATTACATTTAGCTTATATGGCTCTAAATCTCTTTCATTCTGTAACATTCCTTCCCCATTTATTTTCCTTGCTATTTATTTATTGAAGGTCATTTTTTTTTCTAGTTTCCACACTCTGGATATTGTTGATTGTGTTCCTGTGATGTTAACATGTTTCTCTGACCCCTGTATTTTTAATAAACCAGAGTCTTAGAAATAAAGACTTGGTCAGATTCAGGTTTGATTTTTTGGCTTAAATATGTCTGGTTGCTTCTCTTTTTGTGATATTCTCACTGACTAGGGGGCTCAGAAATTGTGAGTTTAACAATCCAATTTTAGTAGCCATTGCTAATCGTTGCCTGGTATGTTATTTTATTTGGGATTGCAAAAAGATAATTTCTACATAATTCAGTGCTAATACATTCATTGGCTTGAATTCTAAGAAGAACCACCCCTTATCAGCTATTTGATTATGCTAAAGCACATATTTGCACAGAAAAGGTCTGGAAAATGCTCATTTCCCTTTATCACTTTGTAGAATAATGAGTTATTTCTCCAACGTCTTCTAAATGTGGCAAATGATATTTCTATTTTTAATATAATGAACTCATCAATTTCAACATGGTTTATATATTTTAAACCATTGTTGGGGTTTTTTTCCCAATGCTTAAATTATCCTGACTTTGGCCAGGTTATCAATTTTTAACACTTCTGTCACAAGTCTTGAGTAGCCCTAGAAAACTTCTTACTTTTTGATTGCATAAGATGGTCCAGGCTCACCTGTACCTTCCCTGCCCTACAGATGGAATCAGCTATTTTCTTCAAAGACACCTAGATCCTTTCTGTGCTAAATGGTAGTAAGAGACCACAGTGTGTGGCTAGAAGTGCTCATTGCTACTAGGAGTTTACTGTTTCTAGGTCTTTTTTTTTTTCGGTGTTGCTTTTTTTTCTTATTTTGATTTGATTTGATTTGATAATTTTATAAAATATTTATGAGGTTCCAAAATGTATGCAGAGAAGTTTAGCTATTTTGCATGCCAACATCTCCTCCATCTCCATGTCCATTCTCCTCCCCATAGGTAAACTTTTAAAATGTTGGTATATCTTTTCAGTAGTTGTGTTTATTTTTTAAGGAAAATGTCTCCATACATTATACAATCCTATGCTCTCATTTTCTTAGCCAAAAGCAGAGTTTTATACACACATCACTGAACGTTGTTTTCTTAAATTAACAATATATCATTGTGTAGTAGTATAGCAGACTTTGAACAACACCAGTTTGAAATGTTGATTCTACTCATACACATATTTTTTTCAATAAATATATTGGAGAAAGGTTTGGAGATGTGAAAATTTTAAAAACCGTTTTATTTTCTCCAGCTTACTTTATTATAAGGATACAATATGTAATACATATAACATACAAATATGTGTTAGTCTACTGTTTAAGTAAGGCTTCTGGCCAATAGTAGTTAAGTTTCTGGAGAGTCAAATGTTATTCACAGATTTTCAACTATGTGGGGGTAGGCACCCCTAAACTCTGTGTTGTTCAATAGTTGACTGTATATAAATACATTCCCTATTCCTTTATGAGAAGCCTAATATTTTATGATCTGCATGTATCATAGTTGATTCAACCAGTCCTATACTGACAAAAATCTGCCATTCTTCCACTGATAGGTAGAAATTATAGGCTTTTGCAGACTTACACTACAAAGAGTTGCAATGAATAGCTTTGTTGGATATGTATGTCTTCATATTTTTGCCAGTGTATCCTTGGGAACAGGCTTACTGAGTCAAAGTGAAAATAGATGTGTAATTGTGATAGATCTTGCCAAATTTTCCTTCCCTTCCATAAGACTTGTACCAATTTGTGTTCCCATTCAGTATTTGGAATGACCCACTTCGTTGCAGTCTATCCAATACAGCATGCTATCAAAATCTTGAAATTTACTCATCTAAAAGATGAGAAGTAGTATTTCAATGTCATTTTATTTTGTATTCCTCTTATAATAAGTGAGAATGAACACATTTTAAGATATGTAAGGTCCTATGCATTTTTTTCTCCTGTGAACTCTTCATTCATACCGTTGTTGTTGTTTTTTTGTTATCATTAATGTACAATTACAAGGGCAATATTATGGTTACTAGACTCCCCCCATTATCAAGTCCCCACCACATACCACATTATAGTGACTGTCCATCAGTATACTAAGATGCTATAGAATCACTACTTCTCTTCTCTGTGATACACACCTTCCCCGTGCTCCCCATACACACATTCTGTGTGCTAATCACAATGCTCCATGTTCCCCCTTATCCCTCCCTTCCCACCCATTCTCCCCATTCACTTTCCCTTTGGTAACTGTTAGTCCATTCTTGGGTTCTGAGATTCTGCTGCTCTTTTGTTCCTTTAGTTTCTTCTTTGTTCTTATACTCCACAGATGAGTGAAATCATTTGATACTTCTCTTTTTCTGCCTGGCTTATTTCACTGAGCATAATACCTTCTAGCTCCATCCATGTTGCTGCAAATGGTAGGATCTGTTTTCATCTTATGGCTAAATAATACTCTATTGTGTATATGTACCACATCTTCTTCATCCATTCATCTGCTGATGGACACTTAGGTTGCTTCCATTTCTTGGCTATTGTAAATAGTGCTATGATAAACATAGAGGTGCATATGTCTTTTTCAAACTGGGTAACTGCACTCTTAGGGTAAACTCCTAGGAGTCAAATGCTATTTCTATTTTGAGTTTTTTGAGGAACCTCCATACTGCTTTCCACAATGGTTGTAGGAGGGTTCCCCTTTCTCCACAACCTCGCCAACATTTGTTGTTGTTTGTCTTTTCAATGATGGAGATCCTTACTGGTGTGAGGTGATATCTCATTGTGGTTTTGATTTGCATTTCTCTGATGATTAACGTTGTGGAGCAGTTTTTCATGTGCCTGTTGGCAATCTGAATTTCTTCTTTTGAGAAGTGTCTGTTCAGATCCTCTGCCCATTTTTAATAGGATTTTTTGCTTTTTGTTTGTTGAGATGTGTGAGCTCTTTGTATATTTTGGATGTCAACCTTGATCGGATATGTCACTTATGAATATATTCTCCCATACTGTAGGATGCCTTTC